GAAAAGCATGCTGTGTAGATATGGGACCTGAAATCTGAATTGAGAGAAGCAGAACCAGGCCCCATTATGAAGAACTGTTATGGGAGGAAAGAGAATTTATTCCATGGTATGAGAATCTCTCTAGAATCTCATAGAGCTAGGGAGCGCAGAGCCTGGAATCCACTTCTCATTCTGGCAGTGTGTAATTGCTAGGTTGCAAGTTAATTTGATCTAATTTCTCTACTTTGTGAAGTTCTAGAAGCAAGGCTAGAATTATGTCAAATAGAAAGGAACGTGAGTAACGAAGAATAACATCCCTCTAGATCAGGTGCATCATGCCTTTTGAAAAGCAGAAATTTAAAACATTCTAACGAAAAGACTTCTAAAAGCCATCCTCTACCTGTTGTCCCAGAGTAAAATTTAATATTTTGACAAAGGAGGGAGGAAAATAGTTATTTCAGAAATTTCCGGACATTTCTGGTTTCTTCCATCTTTGCTTGCATGAAGACAGACACATAAGATGCTTTATAAGATTTCCTTTCCCTGATTTGTTTTGACATATTATAGATGATTTTAGATGCAATTATTTGGAAACATAGAGTTCACAGTTTGATAGTGAATGCAATGAGGAGTGATGGGTCACAGCGTAGTGGTGAAAGCAGAATGTCCGTACCCATGGCAGAGTGTTTGGAAAAAGAAGATACTTAAGGTCCCTCCCAACTCAAGCCATTCTGTGATTCTGTAATTCCTCATTTAAACACTGAGCCTGGATCTGCTTGTGTTGGAATGTTACAGTACTGGAGATGTGAGGAGAGAGACAGTGGCAGAAATGACAGCTGGCAGTAATCAGGTGGAAGGAATGCATCCTTACAGCCATTTGTGGGTAACAGAACAGCTCCTGCAGTTAGCAGTGCCTAAGGTTAATAGATTGTGCAGACTGTAATAAAGACCCTTAGAGAGGAACTTTTCAAGTTGTTGCTCATAAAGTTTTCTGTGTTTTACATGGATGCTCAAGAAACCCATTTCATTTTATTGCCTTAAGAATAACCAAAAATACAAGTAACTAGGTATTTAATTCAAATTTATTCAGGCACTTCTGCTAGGTTTAAAAAGCTGAAGTGGGATAAAAATCCTGTTATCTCCCCATGTGAATGATCTGCACAGACATTCCAAAAACCATTTGTCAGGATTGTCTGAAGCAATGTTAAACAAATGCTGACCTCCATATACTAGTCCTCTGAAAAAATGTAAAATATATATATAGATGTTGTTTTATAATGTAATGACTTCATCTTAAGTATGCAGTAAGCACTCACCAGAAGATAAAGTGATGCCTTGTGAAGGCTGACCTAGAACAGACTAGACGGAGTGAAAGAATAATGTAGGTATTTATTAAGAGACCTCAATCCACCTTGGGCATCACAACCCAAAATGGCCACACAATGGATGACAAGTCATGGGGTCTCACACTTTTATAAGTTTTGGTCCATTAGCATATTGGAGCCAATTTTCTAATTACAGCTTTATCCCATGAAGTCCCATCCTTCTTGTTTTCTCTCTTTGGTCCACCATTGTTTATGCTCTTGGGCCTGAGGTCTGGATAGGCTGTCCTTGGGTCCCCAGCTAGAGAAGGAATTGTTTTGTCTACCTCTTCTGTGGAGAGTGCTTACTATCCCCTAATATGAAGCCTAGACTTTCACACTACAGCAGAATAGAATCTGAAAAATATAAAAGCTAAAACCTGAAGCATCAAAGCAGTTCTTCATGTTACTGTTTTTAATCAAGAAAGGCATAGAAGATCTTCTGTAGGCAGAAGGCAAGATCATGTCTTAAGCAGAGTACAGAGAAAAGAGAGGGAGAACACACTGAAGTTCAGTAACTGAGAAAGAAATTGCAGGAACATTTTTTTTTCTGAGGCTAACATAGTAGGGACAGAAGCTATTTCCATGTGAAATTCCGGTCTGCATGTGTTTCAAAACAAGAAATCAGGTAGTCTAAAATAATGCCCAAAAGTCAAAATTGCTGTGTGACTTAGGTGAAATTTAACTTGGAAAATGTAAAACCTGTACCTTTTTACTTAGCAGTTTTTGCAGGGCAGCTGGAATTATGGTCAGTTTGGAGAAGCGTGAGATGGAATGTTAGCTCCACAGAAGGACCATAGTAAAAGATCTGTTCATCCAAAATTCCCTTGGGTACTACCCATGAGATATTTTTACCACTGTTTCTGTTGAGAAGCCAGAACTGCTGTGAGAACAGGGACTTTCCATTCAGAAAGTAGCTCAGAGTGCGTGGTCTGGTCTTGATTCATTTGCTTGTGCAAACCTCACTGCTGTGATGGAAGGAAAATGATCCAATTTGGTTTTCAGATCCAAACCTAGATTTTCATGTCTGGCAATTAGAACCCCCTTCCCTCCCCACACAGCTGTAAAGTTAACACATTTTGTCTATAGATCTTTAAAAGTTAATAAACATTAAACCAACAATGACATATTTGTGCAGTGATTTTTCAGGTTGATGATACAATTTTCCACATATTTGGTTCTCTGCTTTTTCCACTGATTTCAGCACACAGTGAACTCCACTTTGTCCTGCCTGATCTGATTTCCTCTCCCCTTTCAGGGTAACCTTCCTACCTGTACCAGTATCATTGCACAGAGATTTGCATAAACATTGCTGAATATAAACATTTATATGAACAGAGAGTTCTTTTAGCACTTGACTTGTTTTATTTCAAACACATTAATAACCACGCATATGTGTACAAGCACCTACGTGTAATTATACCATTTTATATTTTATATATGCAGCATTGGATAAAATAGTCCTGGCTCTTTTTCCAAAGCTTTGCTTGATTATTCTCTTTTTTTTGTTTGTTTATTTTGTTTTGTTTTTTAAATTATTGAGGAATAGTGTTTTAAGTGATGCATACTTTTAAGATACATTCTGAGAGGTGTGTATTATTTAAAATGTGCTGGATTTGAAAAAGAAACAAAAGAAAAAGGGATCATCTGATCAACTGCTTCATTATTATTCTGTTTTCCTGATCACCTCTGCCCTGGTTTGTAGAAATTGGCAGATTTAAATAAAATCTCAGTAACTCCCACAGCATATGGTTCATAAAGTAGCATTTACAGTGTGCATTGTAACACTTCACTGCTGCTAGAAAGACTTGAAAGTAATATGGTTTGATGCTGTTCCAAGAGGAAAAATAGAGTAAAACTATCTCTAATATTAAATCAACTGCTGTAAGAGCAGATTTTGGAGAGAGGTGGTATTTTCTGAATGACAACTGACACAAAAAAAAACTCCCCCCAAAAAAATCAAAAAGCTAACACATCCAATATTTTAAAAATCCCCTAGCCCAAAAAAAAACATCCTCAGAAAGTAGTTCTTCAACACTGCCTTTTTTCCCACAGCCTTGTGGAGCCCCCAATCCTGTCTGCAGAAAATGAAAGAGAGAGGGGTGGGATTAATGTGTAATTAAAGGGAATTTGGAAGGCTGAGATGTTGCGGAATGTTAGATCAGTAGCTGGAACAGCATGTGGTGTTCTTTAGGCAGGCTTCATTGAATCCATACAAAAAGAGAAAGAAGGGCTGCTTGCCTGTCTGCTCATTTATCAAACAGCTAGGCTGAACTTTCACAGCTCCACAAAAGTGTTTTACTGTTTGCTGAATTTTTGCTCCAGAAATTAAAGCTGAACAGCCTAGCGACTTTGAGTCTTCGCTGCATTTTTGACATCAGCCACCTTGTGCAAAGCTCTTGGAAACCAACACAGGTCAATTTTTACGTGATAAAAGGGAAAATGGTTGTACCTTTGCTAAAACCCTCCCCAAAAGTACTAAAGAAATAGTTAAATATGTGACATTGTAATGTCTTTATTTATATAGCACCTTTTGATGTAAATACATGTTCCAAAGCTTTCTGTCATCAATCAGGATTAAATATTTATTATGGTGGCAAAATGGCTAATGGAGAAAAAAAATCTATATTATTTAATCAATTTTAATTGACTTTGTTCCTAGTTGAACAGTTATATTCCATCTTGCAGGCTTGTTTTCCTTTAATATTGGTTGGTGTTACCCCCCAAAGAGGAAGCATTTAGTGATTCATGTAACAAAAACACAATTAAAATGGATTACAAATTTTAAAAGGAAGAAACTCCTTTGCAAGTAAATCTTCAAGACTTACTGCAGTTTTTCTTGCATGACTGTTTGGGCAGAAAACTTTTCCTCCTATGTCAGACCCCAGTGAGAATCTGGTTCAATCCTGGGGGGTGCTGAGTGTCTCCTTTCCAGCAACAGCAGCAAAGCTTTTTCGTCAGGATTAGCCTTTGTTGATAGAGGCTCTGGTGACTTAAGGCACAATTTGCATTCGTTAATTTATTTCCTTAAATGCAACTGGCCCTGAAGAAGTTTTGGGTTGCAGTAGCAGCATCCTTTTAATGTCTGCTGACACACTAGAGTTTGGATTCTTGATGACATCCTGCTGTTTCTGAGTTCCACTTGTTTTCCATAGAGGATAAATTGATTATGAGGTATCTTTACAAATGCCATGATGAGTTTTCCTTGGTAGAAGTGATGCCCCTGTCAAACACCAGAACCTTTTTAGCGAATCATATTTTAGAACAAGAAGTGTTTAGTGGCTGGTTTATGAAGATCTGTAGAGAACTTTGTTGATCCTGCAAAGTGACATAAGTAGTAGGCCAGTTCTAAGTATGGTGCTGCTTAGTTAAGAGGCAGAACTGATCTTAGATTTTAAAGGAAATATGTTCTATTCCAGTAACTTCTGAAAGTATTTAAATTAATAGTAGTTAATGAGATTATAGTGAAGTTTAAAATATTTTTCCCCCTTTCAGAAATGGAATAAATCAAGAGCTTTATTTCTGATTTCTCCTATCATGTATTTTGTAGATATCACAGTACAGTTTTTCTGCTTTTTTTGTCTTAAAAGTTCATATTAATTTAAGCATTGGTAAGTGTGTGTTTCCATTTGTCTTAATATCACTTCTGTCTAATTGCAGATAATAAGACAACAGTTTCCACAACTAACAACAAGAAGACTTGGAACCAGAGGCCAATCAAAGTAAGCAGTGTGTGGTATTATTATCATCTCTCACAGGGCCCCATCTGGCTCTGGCTTTACTGAATAGGGAAGGAGAACAGGCAATAACTTGTGCAGTTGGGGACTTAAAAGCAACTTTGGAGGTTCTATTGTAGTTATTACACTATGTTATAGATTCAGCAGTGATTCTGCAAAGGTGATCTAAGAGAAGCCTTTTACTGATTTGATTAGGAATATTTTTCATATTGTTTTTTATCTCAACTCACACAACGTAAAAGACATTTGCACTCAGGAGTAATGGAGCTACTGTTGGAGGCTGAGAAATAACAGCTGGTTAGCATCATGTTTCAGGCTGGAGCAGAAGTGTCAGAATGCTCTTTAAAATTTAGGAAGAACATGCGTTGACGTAAACTGAAACTGCCCACAAACCTGTATTTAACCACCATTTTTCCCAACTAATGAAATCCAACATGCCTTTAGGTGATTAAAGAATTAACTTATTGCCTTGGCCAAAAGATGGTATTTTCTGAAAACAGTTCATCCTAATTCCAGATTAAGAAACTGATTCAGAATTTAGAGTGTGCTTTCTGGGATATTTGACTTTTTCCAGTTGTTGATAAGTTGTGATTCTACCAATTCATCTAGAGGATACAGCAATGTTTTTACACTATTTTCTGCTTGTGGACTCCAAGAAATTTTTCTAGGGGAGGTTTGAATCTTCTTGTGGCAAGCATAAGGCCCCTCACGTAATAAAATCTGCTTTTCTTGATTGGCTTTCACAGAATCCTACAGAGTAGCAGAAGTGTAGTGTCTATAGATCACAAGTGAAAAACTATGGAAGAGGAAATGAAAATGTGAGATGGTGTGTTTGAAAAATTTTGTGGGTAAAGCTTCTCTTTCAAAATAAAGCCTGTATTTTCAAAATAAAGCCATATTTTCAATATGGCTAAATGCTGAGAATTAAATATGCTATTAGGATGGAGCTTACATACTAAAGCTAGAATGACCTGCTCTTTAAAGAAAAAAAGAAACTAAGATTCTGTAAGAAATGCCATTAAAGACAGATTTATTGTGCTCCTCTAATAAGTGGTCCATGCAAAGCAGTATTTCTTTGATGGGATAAAATGTTCTTCCCTCCAGCTTGATATTTCCTTAGTTTTTATAACTAAGATTTCTTTTTCTAGAGCAGACATATTTAAGCAGCTAATTGAAATTTGATTTTGGGAGTGGCCCCAGATGGAAATTCGGAGTAGCCATAACAGCACTCATCAAAGCCACCAGAAATCTCTCAGGTGGAAATTCTGAGCTAGCCCAACAGCATACTAGGAAAGCATGATAGGACCATAAGAGAGTCAGGATTTTGTACTGAATATAAGTTTTGTGGAGGCTCATAAAGACAGAGTGAAAGTGTGTAAAGATGCTTTGTGGACACATTCGTATGAGTACCTCCTATTGGCCATCAAATCATCCTGGCATCATCTACAACTTTTGATGCTTGTCCTTCTGTTTAATGAAAGGAGTAAGCACTGCTCTGTTTCCAAACCAGAGCTTCTCCCACTCCAGGAGTCTCTCAGAGGGTAAGACACTCTTCATCTGCTGACTAGGGGAGTCTTGCACCTCCAAAAGCTCTCTCTTTACTCTCACTGAGACTTAATATTTCTTGCACAATTTCCCTGTAACCTGCCTGCCTGTCAGAGCAGCTTTCAGGTCACATACTCCTTTCACACCACTTGTGCAATGGTTCTGCTCCCTATCTAGCAAATGAGGGGTTTCTGTCATAGAGACAGAGTACCTGCATGCTGTATTTTAATATAAATACTCTCGTTGGTAGACGCAGCACAGCTGTAACTGAGCTCTGATTTTGTTTTCAGAAACATCTGACTGCATTCCAGTTAAGTGTTACGTAAAGAAATTACTTCAAGCATTAACACTACAGTCCCTTTATCACCAATTGTGCTGACCAATTGCTGCCAGTATTATTTTTGTTCCACTTCCCTGCTGCTGCCAAAGGGAATTCAGTCATAGAAGTGGTTAAGATGTCTGACTTCACACTGTTCTGCCTTCAGTCTTTTCATAGCACAGCTGCCTTGTAACGTTACTAAGTTTAGAGCTGCAGTGGTGCTGTGCTCGTGCTCATCAGTTGAGAGCTTTCTGTTTTGCAGCTGGTTTATTGATGCAGCTGTTCTCTGTCACACTGAGCTTAGAAACAGTTCCACCACAGGTGAGCCCTGAGAAGGCGGCTGAACATAAAAGCCAATTTCTTTCTGTACTGTAGTCTGAAACTTTTCAATTTGATACAAGAGGTGTGAGTGGACGCTACATGTGTGTAGAGAATTTTCCTTCTTTCTTTAAAAGGAATGCTGTATGTAAGAGACTGATGAGGGTAAAAGATATTTCACTTTAACACAGAAACAGTTTTGTTGCCTGCATATTATTCTTCTACATATCAGACTTTCAAGCCCTGTTTATTGAACTAAGTTGAGGTTGGTTTTTTTTTCTGATAGGAATACAAAAAATAATTGGAAAATAATCTGTGTAAACTACTCCAGTGAATTTTTGCACTTTGGGATAGTAAAATTAATGAAATAAGAAGCTATGTAGAAAAATTTTGGAGTTTGCAACTGCTGTCTATATGACTTTGAAGCTATGTGGAAACGTCCTCTGTGCAGTTTACTACCAAGTGAAATATACCAGGAATTAAACAGAGCACAGTGGAATTCTACTACATTTTCCAGGCTTGCTTTTTTTTTCCTTCACTAAGACAAAACTTGATACAAGACTGACCCCTGTTTAAATTATGTTTAAATTAATTTAAGTTTAAATTATATAAGCCTTTCAGTCCCACTTGCTCTGACTTTTTCTCTCTTCCTGCCCTTCCCTGAGCAATTTGTGCTTCTGGCTCCCCACAGCATTTCCTTTTGGGTTCCCCTACCCCAGGTGTAACACACAGGCCATGTGTGAGTTTTATGGCCCTTATGTGCAGTGCTCACCTGGCAGCTTCCAGGGACCAAACTGGGCACATAAACCAAGAGCTGGAGGTGTTACCCTTCAAACTAAAAAAAAAAAAAAGCCAAACTCCTACAGCTGGTATTGTAATCTCTTGTCATTAGTTACCTGTAACAGGAATGTCCTCAGTAGGTATGGCCAGGAACCACGTACTAGAAATTTCTTACATCACCCCAGGCCTCCTCTGAGCCCATGTCTGCTGATAGAAGAGTTTGGGCTTCCAGCTCTTTGCCACTATTTTCTACTGGGTATTATGACATGCACGGATCTATGGGCAAATGACTGTGAGTGGAAAAGTCACCAGTTAGTTTCCACTACCATCACTTACATGCTACTCTTAATTAATTTCATTGATAACCTTTGTAGAACTGCCTCAAGTGGATTTGTGTCTGTTTGAATGAACAGACTTGGTGGCAGCACTCTGAAATAGTAACTGCCTGAAGAGTCAAAGAGGCATCCAGAGATGGAAACTTCTTGTGCCATCATAGTGGGGATCCAGAAGAGAGTCTCATGATGATCCTATAGGCTAAAAGGAGAGAAGTGGAGGATCACTGAAAAATCTGTGTAGGATTTGGCTGAAGCAAAAGTATACTGGCAATGCAATCTTGTGGTGCATTTTGTAATCACTACTAATTTAGCTGATGGGTTGGGTGCCTGCAGCTGAGAAACTAAAATAAAAGTTAGGGAATTACAGAAGGACTAAGATAAAATCTCTGCTGCTTTGATGCAAGAGTTTTGCTTGGTAACCAGTGCTTCCACCAGCACCTATAATAAAGCTGAGTGGTAGCACAAACTTGTGCCACTGATCTGTTTCCATAGCACAGCCACGCTGTAATTCCCAGAGTGGTGTCACAGACAGAGTTAGTGCTGTGTCTATCCTATCCCTCGCTGATCAAAGCCCAGTGCTGATGCTAGGGTATGAAGCGAATAATTGGAACTGTACATTTCCTGCCACTCATTGCTTTCCAGCACAAGCCTTCCCTCCCTCTTTTTTTTGAAAATTGAAGTGTTTTTAATTTTTGAAACATTTCTGATCAACTCGTTTGCAATAAAGACTTGTGCTTTTCAGGGGCCAAACTGGACCTCAACAGCCTGAGAATCAGGGAGCTAAAATAACAGAAAGGCCAGTTCAGAGGGTCTGTACCTCTGCTTATTGCTGAACTAAAGGAGCAGCTGCACAGTAGAGCTCTGCCAACAAGTAGCTTTAGGATGCTTTTTTTTTACTAAGAAGTTAAAAAAATGGAAGTACATAATTTTCCTGACCTACAACAGAGTCACATTACTTTTGCCATAAGGAATGAAAATTGGAAGCTCAATATGTTACCACAGTGTTCTGCTGCTGAATCAATGCTTGTTAATAATGTATAAACTATTGTTCAGTCTTTTTTTGCTGTAGAAATAATTTGCATTATCAGTTTCCCTTGCCTCTGCATATTTTTCTTTAATTTTCAAGCAATCTGCTTTATAAAATACACATCTCTATGTATCAGGTACCATTATTATGGGATTGCAGTGAAAGAAAACTCCCAGTATTATGATGTGATGTATTCTAAAAAGGGAGCAGCCTGGGTCAACGAAACAGGAAAAAAAGAAGTAACCAAACAGACAGTGGCGTATTCACCACGATCCAAACTGGGAACATTGCTGCCAGAGTTTCCAAATGTCAAAGATCTAAATCTGCCAGCCAGTCTGCCAGAGGAGAAGGTAACACTTTGGAAATCTTTTCTCAGCTTGTCTTGGTTTCTTTTTTTCCCCCTGCTCTGGATGAAAGCTTTGTCTAATATATAAAGACTTTAAACAGAAGTAAGTTTAATAATGCCTTGACTTGATTTATGGTGAGCTGAATTACTTCATCTAATAGGAAGAAATATCTTCCCTTAAATAGGGGAGCTGACACTTATCAGCTGTACAATATTTCTAACTCCCGTGAATGTTTTTTTAAAAGTTACATTACATACAAGCAGGGCAACTTTTACAATTATGTGATGTTTGAGGATAACTTTTAAAATATGTTCCAGCCCTCTAATCTGTGAACACACTTGATGGCAAACTGACAAACATTCTAATGCTTCCTTGAGTAGAGAGGGACTTAGTGAATTTCTTCTTTTAGAGTAGAAATTCAGAGAATCCTATCTGCCCATATGACAAAAATGCTCTGGCTCCTGTTGGCTGAGCTTGCTAGGTTTCTGGTTCTATTCACATGTGTAGTATCAATGTGAAGTGGACAAAAGAATAGGGTTTTTTAGTACTTTATGTCCTAATTAGGGCCACATTCTCGTCTTTGATCTCACTGAGGCTTTTTGCTCCTCTTGCATTTGAAGAATCCTATTGACAGAAAAATCCATGAATTCAAAGGGAGAATTTACTTTTGAGAAGAAAACTCATCTTGCAGCTAATCTAAATACAATTAAACTAATTTCATTATTTTTGCACTTGTGCATCAATAAGATAAGGAAAAAAACTTGCTTTTTCTCTGCTCTGTCTTCTGGTATTTTAAAAGAGGCTTTCTTAAAGCAGAATGATCTTTTGTGTGTCTCCTTCATTCTTTTTCAGGTTTCTACCTTTATCATGATGTATAGGACTCACTGTCAGAGGATACTAGACACTGTAATAAGAGCAAACTTTGATGAGGTATGGTTAGAAACTGCAGTTGCAGTTTAATGATCCTTAAGGTATCAATGGATTTGACACCTCATTTTGAATGTTATATTGCAGATTACTGGTTCGTGGTGCTCAGTGCTTTTCAGGAGCAAGGGACAATAGCTGTACTCGAATATCTAATATGTGACTGATAGCACTAAATTTCACTTATAATGCTGGGTGAGTTGAAAGAACAAAAGCAAGGAGAATGTTTTTGCCCTCTGTTCTCCAGCAGGATTAAGGTAGCAATATCCCCTTACAAGATGTTGGACAATCCAGTTCTTACAACTTGAGGAGTGTGTCCACCACAACTTTTCAAAGCTTTTTGTTGGGACTGAGCTGTTTGAAGGAATTCCTCTGTGTGCTCAGCAGAGCCAGGGCAGGTGTCACAGCAACAACAGTGGGCTCTGCTGGTCTGTTAACAGCAATGCAGAGTGGTGGGGGGATTACAGCCTCCCAGATATCCCAGAGAGCCACAGCTGAAGTCTCCAGTTGCTCAGTTGTACTTCAGTGCAGCTAGGAACACACACACACACTGCTCAGCAGTGAATACCATCTCAGAGATGGATAAGGCGTGTACTGTTCATGTCTTACTGAATCTGAGGGGTTGCTGCCAGTGTACGCAGACAACTCTATAATTAGAGCTGGAAAATAAAATGTTACTGGAATGCAAGCAGGTTGATATTACATGGGAAGATGGCTTCTTACCTAGGATAACAAATCTGGTTATAGAGATACTGAGGACCTGATTCAAATATGATATTCAGATCCTGGAAAAAAAAAATCAAAGGAAATGGGTCTTCTGACTCTCTCTTCTGATCAATGGGAGAAAATTCCTTGCTTTTCTTCTTTAATTCTCACATTCTTCTGCTTTAAATCTAGTTTTGCACCACTGTACTGAGTCTAGAATTTTCCATGTGAGAAAAATACTTGACTCATTCAGGACATTTAGGTGGGCGAGTGTCAGAATAGTTTCTTAAGAGCAAGACACTGCATTTTATTAGTTTTATCAGGATCTGTGGTAGGGACGGGGCTGAGCAGCAACGATATACAAATAGCAAATATTCTTTGCTGCACATGGTGTAGTTGCTTACTTCACTTCAGAGTGTGCAGAAAGTTGTCATTTGTGAATACTGGTGTTCTGACCCCTGTGGAACTGATCATATCATTCTCTGAATAACACCTTTATATGCTACATTCAAATTTTCAGAGGTATATTTTGCCATGTCTGAAATCTCTCCTCTATTTTTTTTTGTCTTTTGCCACTTTTTCTCCACTTTCCCTCATAGTGGAGGAAAGATAAAATCCAAAAGTGTAGTGTTTCTTTCCAAAGAAAATACAGAAAATGTTATATTGACCCTTGTAAGCCATTTGCTATCCTCCTCTCCCTCCTCTCCCTCCTCTCCCTCCTCTCCCTCCCTCCACCAAGGCCTAGGTTGCATCCCTTTGTACACAGGGACAGAGTGCAGAGAGAGAAAAAGGTTTGACACGTGGAAGCCAAAGAGCTAAACTCATCAGCAACTGATGGAAGTTAAAAATCCATTGATTCCCATGGGTGTCTCTACTGCAGTGACACAAAGACTCCCTTTGAGTGTCTCCTCACCCTTTGGTTGATTTTCCCAGTTTGTGCTGTGTTACAGTACGAGTCTGTGTAGTTAAGGAACGTGCCCTGCCTGTGTTGCACCCCGTTAGCCCACCTCTAAAACAAAAGCTGTGTAAGCATGGTCATTTAAAGAGAATGGTATTTGTGGCCTTTGATTTTTTTTAATTTTAACATTCCTGCTTCTTCTCATGATTGCAGGTTCAAAGTTTTCTTCTGCACTTTTGGCAAGGCATGCCTCCTCATATGCTGCCCGTACTGGGTTCTTCAACTGTAGTGAATATAGTGGGAGTTTGTGACTCAATTCTGTACAAGGCAATTTCTGGAGTTTTGATGCCAACAGTATTACAAGCCTTACCTGACAGGTAACTGACCCCAAATGACAGCTCAGCTGTCTTTGTTATATTTCTTTTCTTCAAGAATGACACCAGTTCTCAGAGAGCTGCTTGCTGCCACCCATTTTCTGACTTTAAATCACAGTGTCATTTGAAAGGCGTTGAAGAGCTTACATGTTCCTGAAAATATGTTCAGATTTTAGCAAGACTTGTATTATTAAAGACTTGGAGGGTTGGGGGTTATTATGTGGTGAAGGATACCACCTTCTTCTTGCTTTCTTAATGTTCAGCTAAACCCAAACTAAATTCACTTTTCCAATTCATGTGGTAGATTTCAGCTGGTCTCTTCCTACCTAGTGTTCATGTGAGTCCAAGAATTCTTGTTCTTAGAGATAAAGCAGGACAGAGATTAACAATCCACAGCAGAAAGTGTAATCACTGAGTGCAGTCAACATGTTTTCCCCTCTGTTTTTATTTGTATGCTCCTCAGGAAGCCATCTTTTTCTAAATAGTCTTGTGCACCTTTAATATTATTTGAATGATTTGTTCTTGACATGGAGTAATTTATTAAGAGTATTGCTCTAGGACTTTTTTATTGGTACTGTATGTTTAGCCCTTAAGATTTTAAAGTGTCTCTAATCAAGGAAAATGTTTTCATGTTGTTCTGCTCTCCTATGTGCATTTCATGACTGGTAAAGTGAAAGTATTTTACACAAGACATCTGCTGTAAGCATAGGCTGTTCTTGATAGGACATGTACATTTTTACAGGATTTGCCCCTCACCCCCCACCCCCCC